TCCGTGATCCGATCCGTGATCCGATCCGTGATCCGGTCCAATCCGATTCAGATTTTGTCGACGCCGTGTCCAGCTTTACTCTTTCTTAGGAGAGGAAAACCAAAAAGCGATAACTCGCTTAAAAGGCTTCGGATCGAGCTGTGAAGCAAGATGACAATAGAAAAGACAACAAGGCATCGAGGTAAGTCATTTTCATTGCAAAAATATCAAAATTTCAGCTATAATGTCGATTACCGTTTGTCCCCATACAAACCTTTATGTATTCAAACCGTTATAACACAACATCTCCATATTCTGCAAGGCGAGAGTCACGTTTCGCGTAATCAGACTCGGTCGTTATGTAATAGTAGATGCCGGCCGTATATGTCACGTTTTCACGATTAAAAATAATAATAACTCCTCGCATCGTGAGCTTGAACCGCCTTTTTCCTGCAAAAGTAAAATGTTTTAAAGCTGAGTGGACTGCTGACTTCAAGTTGTAAGCTAATCAGAGTCAGAGTCAATGATGATTCTTTGTTTTCTTGGCTTCTCGGGACTGGGACTTGGTGTTAACACACAACTGTTAAAAATTTGAAATGGCGTCGAGAGATTCTGATTCGTGGCCATGCTGTACATGAACAACGGCATACCGGTGAATTCTGCCAGATTCGCTGATGAAGAAGCTTAATTTGAACTGATTGAAACTGCTGGTCAAATATTGTATTTTATGCTGATGGATTTGCTGAAGATGCAGGCACCGAACTGTGCAAAGGGAAACGACTTGTTGATGGAGCAGATGTTGAAGAAATCGCAGATGTCGAGCTGGATTGTGCTGATTGCGCTCTAAAATTATGAGTGCCTACAACTGTTAATGCAGATCTTTGTAGCTTAGGCCTAGCACATTACCCGGATAACAGTCATCATTCATTCAGAGGTCCCAGTTTTGAAAAAAATCCGTTTCTTTGCAAAGACTTTTTTAGGGGATAAGGAAAAACGTCATACCTTTGCTTGTGTTTGAGACAAGCAAACAGTTTTTAGTTGTGTGGAAAGAGGAAAGAAATTATACAGTAATTCTGAAAGAATTGGGATGTTTCCACCATGTGAGCAGAGCCTCTTTTATCGCTTTTTTGAGCGGACAGGAGACGGAAAAGGAGGCTCTGCACAAATCTGCTTTAGCCTTTGAAGTCGCTGTAGCCCCAAATCTCGGGCTAGTCATTCCCGATTACAGTCGTCAAACTGGTTTTTCGAGTGCGAGCATCAACTTTTACGAGAAACCGATGGTCGAAACTGAGCCCACTGGATGTTAGAAAAACATGGCGGCGAAAGGGCCGGCGAAAATCGTGCGAAAATGCTTGACGATGCTCTGCTTACACGCAAGCATCAGTCAGCTTCTATCAAGTCTTTCACATCTGGGACTTTC